TACCAAGAGGGACTGAGTAGCTGAACCTGTGGCCTTGGGACCATAGTCACAGGGGACATCAAGCTCAATTAGCATAACATACTACACAAAGCATTGTTCTACCTCCTACTGTGGCGAGTAGCGACTGGGATCTTAAAAGCTTGCAAGCTGCCATCTAGATGCAATGATGGGTCTCTCCTTGTCCAGAGCCAAGAAGAAAGAAGAAAACCAGAAATTCGTGGAAGTAATTAGTCCTAGTGACTGGTACACCATCCAATCTGCAGCCTATACAACTGTGAGACCAGAAGAACTAGATGGTGCCCAGCTAGTACTGTCAACCACTTGGAAGGGAATCTATGTAGGAGATCCTGGATAGAGAGGGAGAACAATGTGGGACAAAACTCAAAATCATTTGGAGAAAATAAAAGAAAGGTAGGACCAGGTTTGCTGGTCTGATAGAGCCTTGTGGAACCACTGAGACTATGGCCCCTAGCTGCCCTTCAGGTCTGGAATTGAACCCATGCCTCTGGCTTCCAGCCAAACAGTAGATAGGCATATGAGTTGAACATTTACCTTAGGTAGATACACCCCAGGGAGAGAACAATCATGGGAGAAAGAAGGGCTGCTTATGCACAGGGAGACAGCTCAGGGGACAGGAGTGCATGGAGGGCTGGACACAGGGAAGAGGTAACTATTGGGAGGAAGTGGGAAGGGGGCTGTTGCATTGCAGTAAGTTGTGGTCAATGTCATGAGATAAAGTGTATGTGAACTGCTGTATGGAAAGTGAATTTGCTCTGTAAATTTCCACCCAAATCACAATAAAAAAGGAAAAGAAAATACCACAGTGAAAAAAAAAAAAAAAAAAGAATTGCAGTTGTATTACCAGACAAACCTGACCTGCAAATGAATCTCATTATCTAATAAAATGATTCTCAGTGCTGGTTATACATAGAATTAGTTAAGTGTGGGAGAGTAATTTTTAAAAAATTACTGATGTCAGAGCTCAGTCCGAAATAATTCAAGTTATCATTGGTCTAGAGTAGGCCTCAAAAACCACAAAACCAAACTCACTGCCATTGAGTAGATTCCAACCCATAGCGACCCCTCCTTGGGTTTCCGAGGTGGTATCTCTGCGGAAGTAGATTGCCCAGTCTTCCTTCCGAGGAGTGGCTGGTGGGTTTGAACCGCCAGCCTTCTGGTTAGCAGTCAAATGCCTTAGGCACTATACCACCAGAGCTTCCAGAGTAGGCCTAGGTATCCCTGTTTTCTAAAAGCACTCTATGATTCCAGTGACTTCAGAACCACTGGTCCAGTAGGATATCCTGTCCATTCCACTAAGCCTATTTATTCAGTAAGTCAAAATTTGTGATTTCTGTTTGAAGTCAGTCCTCTCCTAGGGCTGGAGCTTCAGTCCCTACATTAGGCTATTATTCCCCAACATCCAGTTTACTCACTCAAACTGCCAGAGCTCTGCCAGGTAAAGTGTGAAAGATGGAGAACCCTTGAACACCACATGCCTCATTCTCCCTCCTCACCACAGATCTTTGCCATGTCTGATGTGGCTTTTTTCACACAGTGGAAAGCCACCCCAGCACATTCACAGCCTGTTTTGGTTACCTAGTGCAGCTCTAACAGTAATATACCACTAATGGGATGGCTTGTTAACAAACAGGAGTTTATTCTCTTGCATTCTAGAGGCTTCAAGTGTGAGTTCCAGGTGCCAGGCTCTAGGGGCTAGGTGAAAGCCCCTCAACCTTGGGCTTCAGCTCTGCCTCCTGCTCCCAACCCACTGAAGCTGGAGGCTTTCATCACTCAGGCAGCTGCTGAGGCTGACAAACCCAGTGTTAACAAGTGAAAAGGCACAGTCCAAATGTTATCAAACCACACGGCAGGCCATTAATTCAAATCCACTGAAAGTCCCAAGATCGGCAGACCATGGCAGGCTACTGAATGAAGACTCGGCTACATGCAGGGTTCAAGCGTGCCATAAACTGGAGACCATTCCCAAAGCTGTTTCTTATATATTGGAAGCAGACTACATCCCTAAAGTAGCTACTCAGCTGCTTATGGTAGATCCCACCATGGAGATGATTGCCAGTCTCATCATGAGGAATAACTACCACCAGCTGCCGAGCCACTCAACCAGGCCCAACCAAGTTGACAACCTTAACTACCACACAACCCTTATTTTCCTTCTTAACCTGTCAAGCCATAGCCAAAGGGAGCAGTACTTATCAATGTAGCTACTATGGCCATCACATTTGGGTTCCTATTCCCTTCAGAAGTCAAAATGAAAAAGGATTTAAAAAAAAAAAACAAAAAAAACAGCTTCCCCAACCCTTGTAGAAAAAACATTAAGAGGTTGAAAAGATTAGGAAAGTGGTTTGTTGTCAGGTGCCTTTGAGTCTGTTTCAACTCATAGTGACTTTATATACAACAGAATGGCACACTGCCTTGCCTTGCAAATCTTTACAATTATTGCTATGTTTGAGCCCATTGTTGTAGCCACTGTGTCATTTCATCTTTTCGAGGATCTTCTTTTTCGCTGACCCTCTACTATACATTACGGGGTTGACAACCAGTTCAGGGCTGCTGTATCATAAGGTGTATTATAAAGAGAAATAACAAAAACAAGCCAAACCCACTGCCGTCTAGTCAGATATGACTCATAGCAACCCCTCCTTGGTTTTCCGAGGCAGTATCACTACAGAAGTAGATTGCCCAACCTTCTGAGGAGTGGCTGGTGGCTAAGCGCCAGCCTTCTGGTTAGCAGTCAAGTGCCTTAGGCACTATGCCACCAGAGCTCCCTAAAGAGAAATGCGGGATGGTAATGCGTGGTCCTTAATAGGTAGACAGCAGCCAAGTCAGGAAGATTTTTGTGCGTCTTGATAAATTTTTCAAAGTATTGTTGTACTAGGCATCTAAAAGTCTACCTGGGTCAGTCCTTCAAATTCACTCCAAGATTACAGTCTCAAACTGCTCATTGTGGTTGCTCCAAAAACTGACCAATTTATGGGTCCTCTCTGGGATATTGTGCCTAGAATTTCAGTAATAAATTAACTATAAGATCAAAAGTTGTCCAGTGTAGATTTGGGAATGTTTTGGCTATTATTGCAAGGAAACATAAAAAATAATAACATTAGTGACCTCTGGAGAGGGTGTCTGGGGAACAAGATGGGAAGAATTACTTTGCTTTGTTTAACTCTTTATACTACTGGAATTTTTTACCATGTATATTTATTGCCAGGAGCTCTGGTAGCATATTGGCTAAGACACTTGACTGCTAACTAGAAGGCTTGCGGTTCAAACCCAGCAGTCACTCCTCAGAAGGAAGATGGGGCAATCTACTTCCATAGTGATACTGCCTCAGAAACCCAAGGAGGGGTCGCTATGAGTCGGGTCTGACTCGACAGCACATAACAACAACAATATTTATTGCCTATTCGAAAAGTGCAAAAGAGAATTAAAGACATATATTGATTCCATAGCTTAAAGAAGTTGTTAAAGTAGTTTTGTTTTTCACAGCCTAAGAAATAAGGGATTGGGGAGATCTTTTGCATGTCCTGTATAAACTGGTCCTTTATTTGTTTCCCAGTTTGCAGCTCATCTTGTGAAGATGAAATATCCAAGAATCTGTATTCTAGATGGTGGCATTAATAAGATCAAGCCAACAGGCCTCCTCACCATCCCATCTCCTCAAATATGAAGAATCAAGGGTATGGCTATCAAAAGGATAGAAAGGCATGAGCACCCAACAGCACAGCTCTTCACTCCCTTGCCACTCTAAGACAAGACTAGAGATCCGGATTGTTGCATTTCCATACAGCTTTCTTCTGAAACTTTAAAAAAAAAAAAATCTCATGACCCAAATGTTCAGCTATCCAGGCAACAAACTTGACTGTACATGTATTGCTGAAAGAATTTTCTTAGTGGTGAAATTTGATCATGTATTTTTACCACATGCCACACAAAGCCAGAGGAATCCAGCTGACAAGGTAGGGTTAGCATTATCAAGAAACCCCAGTTACACTGAAAAAGCTGTCCTCCATTGCGCTGAACAGACATTCCTAACAAAGGTATCGTGTAGAATTACAGACTGAATGTGAGCTGGAATCATCTTCTTTCTGTGATAATAAAAAGCAAAACCTAATCCTAATACATTCCTGATTAATAAATGCTGTATTTAGTAACTCAGTTTTGAGTACATAATGGCTCAGACAAGATGTGTGTGTGTGTGTTTAGAGATAGTAGAGTTATGTCATTGCAGAATGTAGTAATAGGTTACCTACAGAGATATGAAAGTCAGAAACCATTTATATTAGAATATTTGTTCAGCTCCTGTAGCAGAGAAACCCAAGATAAGACTGGCTTAAACAAACTAGAAATTTCTCTTTCATGCAAAAGTCTGCATAACCAACCTAGGATATAGGGCTAGTATATTGGCTTCCTGCCTTTAAGAATTTAGATACCTTCTGTCATTGTTTTACCACCCTCAATACGTGGCTTCCAACTCATGGATAAAGATGGCTGCTCACTTCCCACCATCTCATCTGCAATCTATAAAGAGAAGAGGAGGAAAAGAAAGAAAAAAAAAAAAAAGGAAAGATTTAGGGAAGAGAAAGCAAGGAAGAAAGAAGAGGTATGCTCCTTCCTTTAAAAGGACAAGACAGAAGGTACACACTGTCCTTCTGCTTCCATACATTCGGCCAGAATTCAGGCATGTGGCCACATCCAACTGTAAGAAACACTTAGAATGTACTTTTTGCTTCGTGGCTATGTACCCAGCTAAAAATCCTATTACTGTGTGGGAAGAAGAGAACACATGTAGGCACACCTCAGAGATTCTGCGAGTTTAGTTCCAGACCACTGCAATAAAGCAAATGTTGCAATAAAGCGAGGCACAGGAACTTTTTGTTTTCCTAGAGCATGTAAAAGTTATGCTCACACTATACTGTAGTCTATTAAATGTGTAAGAACATTAATGAAAAAGTTTGAAGTATTGTGAGAATTACCAGACTGTGACACAGAAACACAAAATGAAAACATGCTGTTGGAAAAATGATGCTCATAGACTCCCTCGATGCAGGTTGCACAAACCGTCAATTTATAAAAAAAAAAACAACGCAGAATCTACAAAGTGTAATAAAGCAAAGAGCAATAAAATGAGGCATGCCTATTTGAGAGATAGCTAGCAGCCTCTGCCACATCATTCTAAAAATTAAATACTGTACTTCACTAAAACATGTCACCACTTTATGCTACAAAAAAAAAAAAAGGAAAAATGCATCCAGATAAACTATGGCATATCATAAATTATAAGGTGTATCTTTGCTTCAGAAATCGTAAAAATGCATCTTAAAATTACTGAAAAAGAGTAAGTATTCTTTACTATCTTTAGTTTGTTTTAACTAAAAAAATGTTCATTCATCTTTAATTTACATTCCTCTTCAGTGCTAGGACTGACTACCCAGACTGATATTTCAATGAGAAGCCTCAACTCAACTTTCTGGGCCATGTTTTTGTTGCTGCTATTGTTTGTTTTATTTTGTGTTGTTGCATCTCTTTTTTTTATTGAGATATATTTCACATACCACACCATAAAATTCATCCTTTTAAAGTGTACAATTCAGTGGATTTTAGTATATTCAAAAAGTTGTGCAACCCTTCCAAAAAAAAAAACATACTGCCTTCGAGTCGATTCAGTCTCATAGCAATCCCCGATGGGTTTTCAAGGCTGTAAATCTTTACAGAAGCAGACTTCCCCATCTTTCTTCCATGGAGCAGCTGGTGGGTTCAAACCAGTGGCCTGTTGGTTAGCAGCCAAATGTCTTAACCACTACACCACCAGAGCTCAGGTATTTGATTTAATGTTTATATATGGTGTGAGATGATAGGAGTTCATGTGGATAACCAGTTGTTCTAGGAGGTATGTTGCTTTGTTTAATTATTCAATTAATATTCAATTATTCAAAAAATATGTTTTGAATACATGAAATACACAATACACTGATAGAATTAAAAGTTTTATCATTCTTTTATTCCTACATAATATACAAAGAAAAAATATGAGAATTAGTGAGAAAATAAAATTTTACTAAAATTTCTCTAATACTGTGTTTAGACTGTTATCTACCATAGTTAGGGAAATACCATTAACTCCTCCTGTCAATTACTATCATTTTTCTTCAGTCTTTTGATTATTTACCTGTCTTCATAGTCAGAATGCAGCAGTGGTGATCATTTTGAAAACAGTAATAGTCTGAGTTTTAATTGTGCCTTACTGAGACAGAAGAGGGGAGAGGGATGGGCATGAGGGGGTTTAACTGGGATGATAGATAGGAAGAGGGGACAGAAACATGAGTGTTGTGAGGAGCACTGTGTGGGAAGGTAATCATAGCCAACCTCCTTTACACTATTTTGCATTTGATCTTTCTTAAAATTAATACACTTATGCTTATTTCTTAAATGGACTTTTTTTTTTTTTTTTTCATTGTGGTTTGGGTAAAAGTTTATGGGACAAATTAATTTTCCATTCAACAACGTATACACATTTTGTTTCATAATGGCAGTTTCAATTCTCTCAATATATCAACACTCTTCCCACTTCCTCCCTAGGTTCCTGTATCCATTTGTCCTTCTTTCCTGCCTTCTGAGCTTTGTTTTGGGTAAATACTGCCGTTTTGGTTTTGTATGGTTGTTTTGTGGAGTATGTTCCTCAAAAGTGCTGGTGGTCACTTTGTAGGCCTGTCTGCTGTTTGGCTGAAAGGTGATCCCCAGGGAAGGGTTCTGATCCAGGTTTTCTCTCTCTCTCTCTCTCTGTATATATATATATATATATATATATATATATATATACACACACACACATATATTTTTTTTTCTCTCTCTCTATATATATATGTATATTTAAAACAGGGGTTCCACCAAAAATGGACATTTTTAAAACATACACATAAGTAATATTTCATATTCTTAACAGTAAAATAAGAGCACACCATCACTATTCCATGGCAGATGACCCCAACAAAGTTGACCTCAACAACTATTTGTTGAATAAACTCATATAATCATGATTGGTAGAGGTACTTTCTAATATTTTACTGATCCCTACACTGTTAGTACTGTATATTTCTGCCAACCTCAATCTAGACCCTCCACCTGGCATATACTTACTGTCACCACAGACCAGTCTCATACACATACAAATACACTCACACTCATCCATCTTTCACAATCCAGTGGTGTCTCCTTCAGTCTTCTCTGACTTCCCCATGCTGCATTAAATGCCTCCAAGCATTCCATTTCAGACTTGTATTAGACTTATATCATTTTGTAATTATCTCTTCACTTCTAAGCCCCATATTAAATATGAGTTATTTTAAGTCAGGGGCCAAAAGTTATACTACTTTTATGTTTAACAATCCATGACATTGGAGATGCTCAATAAATGTAAAATCAAATGGAAGTTCTAGCTATGCATACCTTAGGTATCTTTTTCAGAATCTATATGATTGGAAAAAAGTTTTAAACAGCCTATGGTAAATTTTTGCAAGTGCAAAAGTTTATCTGATGTCAGTATGGTGTGTAAATAAATTGTAATCTCAATTCACTGAGTGAAGGAAGGGTTTCTAAAGTTCTACCTAGTTCTAAAATTTTATAATTGTAGAAGCTTGAACAGATGATTTCCCATAACATGTAGTATATAAACTAGTTGTTAGCCTTTTCCAAAAATAGAAATACTTGATTTAAAAAATATATAAAAAGTGTCTAATACTTGCATGGAAACAATTAGTCCAAAGGACTAGTATACCATGAGAGCCTCAGCCTATATGACTATGAGACCAGAAGATGGTGCCCAGCTACCACTGTCAATCACTCGGAGGGAGATCTATGTAGGAGATCTTGGAAAGAGTGGGAGAACTATGTGGAACAATACTCACAATCATAAAATTTTAAAAAAAGAAAAAAAAAAAGGCCAGGTTTGTTGGTCTGGTAGAGCCTGATGGAACCCCTGAGACTATGGCCCTTTGCTGCCCTTCAGGTCTGGAATTGAATCCACTCCTATGGCTTCCAGCCAAGCAGAAGACAAGCATATGAGCTGAACATTTACATTAGGTAGATGCACTTATTGGAGAGATCAATCACGGGAGAACAGAGGGGCTGTGTATGCACAGGGAGACAATTTGGGGGGCAGGAGTGCATGGGTGTGGAAGGATACAGGGAAGAGGTAGCTATGGGGAGGAAGTGGGAGGAGAGCTATTGCATTGTGGGAGATTCCAGTCAATGTCATGAGACAGTGTGTGCGAAGTGCTGTATGGAAGATGAATTCGCTCTGTAAACTTTCATCCAAATCACAATAAATTTAAAAAAAAAATGTGTAATACTTAACCAAGTTTGGAATAAAGGAACAGAAATTCTTTGAAAACAGAAATGAAGAGGATTTGATGTCAGAAATGAAGAGGAACTGAAAAGTTACAGCTATCTGGCTATCAGATACTACTGTACAGGATAGCCCTACTAACTGGGATTTTAACATGCATATAAGGATAAACGACATACCTTTGGTCTTCTGGGTCAGGAGTTGGAATTACATTACTTTTAAAGTGGTATTACAAAAAAAAACTTTGATCCATGAAATGACTAAGAAGTACCTTCCTACTATATTAGGGAAGGTACAGAGGAGATTTTCATTGAATTGGCATTTTGAGTGACAAAAAACAAATCTCCTACTGTAGACAGATGGAGGTTTAAGTGGAAGGCTGAGTAAGTCCCCAAATTAGAGCAGGATTTAAGGCATGTGTTCATCTGAGTATCTAAAAATGAACTAATGAATTATATAAAGCTTTTAGAAAGAATAGATTGTGCCAGATCATTGTCTACTCTTCTGTTTACCTCCTTCAAATAGTAACACACCCAAGAAAAATAATTATTGGGAGACTGATATAAAATTATACTTAGTAGAACTAAGGCAAAGAACCACATGTTTATCTCAGTCAGCACAGAAAGGCCTTTGACAAAATCTAACACCTTTTCATGAGAAAAACATTCACAAAGCTGGGAATAGAAAAGAAATACAAAAAGAGCTGAAAGTAAAGAATACAGGAAAGATGTTTACTTGTGTTTTATTGACTATGCTAAAGCATTCAATTGTGTAGATCATAACAAATTATGGATAACACTGAGAAGAATGGGAATGCCAGAACACTTAATCGTGTTCAGGAGGAACCTGTACATGGACAGGAGGCTGTCGTTCAAACAGAATATGAGATACTGCATAGTTTAAAATCAGGAAGGGAGTGTGTCAGGGTTGTATCCTTTCACCATACTTATTCAATCTGTGTGCTGAACAAATAATCCGAGAAGCTGGACTATATGAAGAAGAAGAATATGGCATCAGGATTGGAGGAAGACTCTTAACAGCCTGCAATATGCAGAAGACACACTTTGCTTGCTGAAAGTGAAGATGACTTGAAGCATTTACTGATGAAGATTAAAGACTACAGTCTGAAGTATGAATTAAATCTCAACATAAAGAAAATGAAAATCCTCACAACTAAACAATAAGTAGCATCATGATAAATGGAGAAAAGACTGAAGTTGTCA